TTATCTGCTCCAGCCACATACATTTATGTCACGTCCCAAAAACACAGGACAAACGAAACACAGGATCTTTAGAGTTTGAATTCCAGCTCAGTGCACATGAGTTTCATCCCAACGCCTCCATGATTAGAGTCTCGTAAAATCTAAAACGAAATGCTTAAACAGTACGTCTGCCAATGTTTTTCCTTTATGATAAAAGCAATACTGGAATCGCTCGTCCAGTGCTCGGTTCTGTCACATGTAATTCATTTACTGTGAAAACACCACTGCCCTGTTTGCAAATTGGTCTGATTGTAATGTGTCATACGACAGTAAGTCACTATTAACTATTCACAAACGTCACTTACCCACAAAGCTAAGCCCCTCACAGCTAACTACTTAGATGTGCTTTGACTAGTCAGCGGCGAGCCTCATACAAGCTACAGTTTTAATTTCTACGTTTTACACATTGTAATTCAAAGGTCCAGACTTTTTTGACTTATAGCGGAGAACAACACATACTTGTAAATATGCATTTTCTAGGTATTTACAAACAAGAACTTTGGGAGCGCCTCAATTTTGTAGAAGCTATTAAGCTATAAAGAGGCTCTGCCCTTTTTAATTATGCAAATTCACAAAAAAAAATCATGAGGATAATTCTAGAAATAGATGACAACAACCCAGTTGGTCTCGTTGCAACAAGTTGTTGTGACATTTTCATTTTTTTTTTTTTTTGAGACAGTGTCTGACTGATTTGACAAAGAGGAGACTTTGTGTTGCAGCTGTTAAAAATGATGATAATTTCACTGTACAATACATGTTTTTCAGTATATGTTGCTGGATTTGTCCTGTTCCTTTTCTGACCACTTTACAGCTGTACAACAATCAACATGGATTATAATTTTTTTTCAATGTGAAGACTTGTTTTTCCTTTCATGCATGTTGAGATGACCTGGCTGGTTTTTACCCCTGTTTTTATCAGTTTGTATTGATTTGTGGATTAAAAGAAAAAAAAAAAAAAAAAAGCTTTTGTTCAACCTACAGAGTCAAATTTTAGTATATTATTTGATGTGTACGATAACTTGTGACATTATCAGCAAAACTATTATAATATTTTACTAACATGTCAATCAAATATGTACTGGTCATGTAAGTTCTCTTTTTTTTTTTCTGCAGTTACTTAGCAGGGCTACAGCTGAGGTTGCTCCCTGGTGCGTGTTGAATTTAAAAATCTTTGGACACGTTCATTAGGGGGGGAACCGGTTTTCCGCGAAGCAGTCGTTGGCTAATCTCTGAAGTTGTGCAATACTAATATTCCACCGCTTCGTCAGCTACACTTTTATTTATTTTTGAAGCAGAAGAGATTGAGCCAAAGACATTTTAAAGGGATCTATTTACAATTTTTCTTTAGCTGATTTATTTTTAACACTTCATTTGTGTCCTAATCAACCATCTTTATGTTTCAGACATGAAAGGTAGCGACGCCACAGATGAAGTTGGATTTGAAATGTGTTCGCCTCCTAATGTTGCACCATATGTCACCGTTCGAAAGCATCCTGTGTTGCCTTTTTTAAAGATAACAAAATGAAACCAACATGTGTGTGTGGCACATGGAAAGGGAGCAACCTTTTGCCCAGCCAGTAGAGAGCACTGTGTTCAGCCTTCTATAGACGCCACATCTCTTCCCGTTATCCGTTCGCTCTCCTCTGTTCTTCCCTCGCTGCAGTGAATCAATGGCACACCTGTTCTCCCAGTCCCCCAGTCCCATTGGTTCCTCCCTCGTGGGTACAAAATAATGAATAGATATGTTTTACTCTTCTTCATTTCAATTGGTGGTGGTTATAATAAAGGATTTAGACTGTGTTTAAAAGGTTTATTTTCTTTTTTTTTTATTTGTTTCTCTATTAAAGTGTTTTTATTGAAACGTCTTGAATTCTATGTCTTTTTTTCTGCTCCTTCTCTGCACCACCAATAATTCACAGGTCACATGGTGGACATGAGGTTTGATGCAGTGGACGGTGGCCTTCATCAGTCCAGATTAAAAGGTGACGACTGTAATTCAGCTCCATATAAAGCACTGCAGCATCAGAACGCGCCGTGCGCTTTAACTAGGATGGAAATCAGCACCATCATGACAACACTAATTAAAAATGATTTTGCTGTGATTTGACTTACAGTTTGACCCAGTTACTGTTCAATGTTGTTGTTTCTAAGAGAACGTAGAAGACATTATCAACTCGGTCCACAGTATCCATGTGTCCAAATCACCCCAAATACAAAACTGCACTTCCTCTGAGTATTGTTAAGCTTATAAAATGAACAGTTGTAGCGAGATATGTGTCCACATGCAGACATATGTGAATTGGTAGCGAGATAAAATCCAGCTTTATACTCTGTTCTCCATTTCAACATCTGTCAGGTGCTATCTACTGTGCCTTTGTTACATGGAAACAAAGAAAACATGAACACAAAGTGATTTCAGAAGACGCCAGGCAAGAGTTTTCCAAAGCTCACCAACTTTTAATTTTCATTAAAGAACACTCCACACATTAGTTCTTAGTCCTACAGTGTGTTTGATTGCATGCTATGTTCTATGGAAAAGTCAAAAACATAAGAAAGACTAACAATATAGAAAGCTCACATCAGCAGGTTTCATTACTTTACGAAGGGTGTTTGATTTTTTTTTCTCTGTTTTATTTGAGCAGTTAACTCTTTTTTGTCAGTGAAGAAATTTAAAAAAGTTAAAGTGAAAAGAAGGAAACATAGAAATAAACCATAGTGGACATCAGCCCTGAAGAAGCTCATATACTGTATGAATGCAGCTCTCACTAACAGATAAACAGCTGACAGTGAAGTTATACACTTTGACACCTCCGCAGAAAGGTCAAATACATTCACTCCTGGATTGCTCACTTACATACACATGGACAGAATGCTAGCAGTTATGTCATGGGAGATACCAAGTAGAGTAAAAATAAATGGTCTGGTTTAGAGATTGACAGTACAGCAAGACTGTAAGATCATACAGGGACAAACACGAGGAGCATGAATTGAAAGGTTATGTTTTCGCTCCGGTCTGTGGTTTGTTTGTTTGTTTGTTTGTTTGTGAGCAGGATTACTTATTATTCAGGTCTTTGTTTTCCCCAATTTCCCCAAATCAAGCATATTTATGTGAGTGTGGTGTAGCTTGATTGAATTTAAGGCAACTGTTGGGCCTTGGCAGAAGTAGGCGCTGTACTTTTCAAATATTCATTTTGTTTGCCCCCTGAATTATCTTTATTTTGTTGTGGTGTTGCATGGTCTACCTCGGAAAAAGTTTACTTTAAAGTCTGTGGCGGTGTGGGTCCAGCAGTAGTTTTACTTGAACTTGTACTGCAAAAAAGATTAGAACTGTGCCATGCAGCATGGTCCACATTTTCACCTTCTTATTGTTGAATTTGTAAAGCTGTTATTCAAACTGTAGAACGTTATATAAAATGCATTCAAAAACTACAAGTCCACTTTCTTTGTTACCTCCACCAAGGTTGTGTTTTCATTGCTGTCTGTCGATATGTCTGCAGCATTACACAAAAAACTGCTAAAACAGATTTCCTTGAGAATCTAAAGATTAACCTTTTTTACCTTTGTGGAGGTGAAGGGGCGGAGAGAGCACCTTCACCTGCACCACAGAGGATCAGTCAGCACAGGTGAGAGCTGTTAGCTGATTGATCCTCAGACTTGAAAAGGCAGCAGCAGAGCTGCCTCAGGAGGACACACACTGGTGAAGCAGAAGGTCCAGCAGAAAGTGCTGGACCATTTAAGTTCCATGTTTTGTATGTTCTGGTGGCCTGCAATAAAGAGATGTTGCTGAGCACTGAATGGGTGAACTGGTTTGTCTCTGGCTGTCATGATGGGAACCCCGTGGCATGGTCTACTGCCACAACCTTCTTTAACATTCTGCCTTAGGGGAGGTATGGCAGAGGGACGGCTTAGGGATGTGCTCTCTGAGTTAAAAAATATTCCACTTCATTTGCAGCATTGGTTTGAGAAACTCCACCACTTCAAGCTGCATTGAGCTACTTGCAGCTGATTAATAGAGTTGTGTCATATTTGTTTGTGTGATTTGCAATCGAAGTTGATTCTGAAACAAAGCGACGTGTCTTCCTGTCACAAATACAATAAACTTGAATTAAAATGAAGCTGACACTCTGATTACATGTTTCCAACTGTCTGCACATTAGGGTTAAAGCTGTCAGCAAAAAGTATAAGGGCTTGTATGTGCACCTGCTTGAACTAAACCTGTTCCTGCGTGATCAGTGCTGTACTGTGACTATATGGGTGTTTAGAATTCAGCCTGTCACACGCAAACCTCTGTGTTTTTGCTTTGCTTAATATTCCACTTGACTTGTACTGCAGACTTGTCTTATTTACTGTAAGTGAGAGATCACAAGAGCGACGCCATACAACGATCAGCAGCAGAAGATTAAATATGTACAGGATATCATACATAATGCAGTGCATACATGCAAACTCAAGTATCCTTGTTGTCAGGCCATAAGTGTTTTAACTATGTTCTCAAAATCATATTGTCTTTCTGGCAAAGGTGTGTGTGATAGTAACAATGGGACCAAACAGGACCATTGACTCAGGACATTAACTTGTAATTGAAAAGTCTCCAACATGAGACCAGAACATTCGCAGGTGTCGGACAGGACCTGTGTATTGGACACATACTTGATTTAGGGCAAGCATTCAGAACTCTACTTATTTTTGTTACATGTACATATATTATATGTATATATGTTATTATTCTTCCCACGATGGCTATTGTCGAGTCTCTGTCATCACGGCTTCATGGCTGCCAGCCCTTGTTCTCGAAATGAATCCAACATCTGTTCTCAAAACAAAAAGAAAGATCGTCCCGTGTTTGTCCGTCCGTGAGGCTGTCATTCCACCTGGTCCGGCTCAGCGTCCATGCAAGTCTCCCATGGGTTCCTGGGCATCTGGGGCATGGAGAGGAGGAGGAGGGCGATGCCAGTGAGGAAGAGCAAGACAAAGCCGGCACAGGCGCACGCGAAGGACCAGGAGTAGTAGTGCTCGATCCAGATCGTGTCCTCGCTCTCGATCATCCGCTTCACTGACTGACGCATCACCTCCACTGAGATGAAGAGGCAGAGGCCTTGGGGGGAAGCAGAGAGGTGAGATTCCCAAACAGAACTGTAGATAGCAACCGAGAAAATCTCATTTCATTGATTAACTGGGCTCACCTGCGAACGCAAAGAACATGCCGGCAGGTTTGAGGAGGTAGTCTCTGCCTTTGCCTTTACCAGTGCATGATCCAAGTAAACAGAGAGAGCCCAGGATCATGAAGGCCAGACTGAAGATGGAGATGGCTGCAGCCGAGATGTTGTACTCTGGAAGGAAAGAGACATCAAACTCTTACATTTTCCCTATTGTCATCATATCATGTAATTTCGTTCACATTTATATACAGTACACATACGTATAAATTGTTAATCACAGTTTCCACAATCAATAAGAAGATGCAGCTTTAACTAGAAGTGATGAATTATCGAGATAACACATGCCCCTTTGTTTCAGACGGAGTAGAAATAAGATCCTGGATCTTTTTACGTATTAGATGGTTTTGCACATCACAACAATTTCCTTCTAGTTTTTGGAGAAAATCCATGTAGTGTCAGGTTAAAGAGCAAGTCTTGCTTTAGACTTTTTTCATTATTATTGTCATGACAACAGCTAAATCACAAATTAAAATTTTAGTGCTGTCTCAACATTCAGCTCCAAGCCAGTCGTTTGGTCACAGATCTCTCTTTCAACCTTTACGACATCCTAAGTGGCAAATAGACTTATTCATATTTTTCTTTTCTTTTCGTATATCTTTTAATTCTATTTGTGCACAGCGAAACATTTTGTTCATTCTTTAAAGGAAATCTCTCCAGATTGAAATGTATTTGTATGTGCTCTAAGTCATAGAAAAATCAATCTTTGGTCATACAGGATTTATTAGCTGGACCATTTTCTTTCCTGGTTTTGGTCTTCTCCTGAAATCTTTTAACTATTCAATAAATATAGAAAATCACTGGACTTAAAAATTCCTCATCTTAACCTCACAAATAAACTATATGAGTGTAGTTTGGTCCTCGTGTTGACAGATTCAGTGTGTCTGTGTAAAGGGAACAGCAGCTGGCTTGTTTTTCTGAGCAGAGAGGTGAGGCCTTTGATCTGCCGCCTGTTCGCCTGTGAACTGTGCCCAGGGGAGAGGGCTCCGCTTTGGGGGAGAGAGGGCCTTCATCTTCTGCTGACAGGGGAGGATAGGCTGCACCCTGAGATACCGATACCCTCTGTGGAGCGCGTTGGCTAACTCGGTCTGGAACATCAGAGTTTTTCCAACACCAAAGGTTGATAATAATGTAGACATCAGAAAGATAGCACAAGTCAAATGTAGCTTTGCTCTTCATGCGTCTTTGATTTATATTCATACATGTATATGTATACTGTATATACAGCCAGATCATGCCCATGTTATGTATATACAGGCAAGCACGTGGAGGAGAAATTTGGAATTTCAAATGTTCCTCTTTTGATTCGATTCGATACAATCAGGTCCCTAAGGCTCTGGAATGAATTGCCTGAGGAAATACATCAGTCTGAGACGAGATCTTCTTTTAAATTTCAGCTAGAAATATAGTTGTTTCCATATATTCCACAATTTTCTTGGGGTGCCACGTTATTATTGTTCTTTTATCTTTATTATTATCATCACATCATTATTTGTAGTAATGATCATAATAATAATAATGTTATTAATGTTATTATTATTTGTGTGGTGTGGTATTGGTCCGGAGAGAACCCATTAAATGTTGCTGTGGATCAGGGAATGGATCCAGCATCTTTTACACTTTCTTTAACATTGCATTTTTTAAAGCATTTTCACTCTTTTCCTGGGGAATGCTTCATGGATCTTGATGTAAAAAAAATCTGGCATATTTAGGGAGCTGATGTATAAGTGTGTGCAATGTGGAGCAGCCCTACTTAATTTAAGGAGACTCTATGGGGAAACATGCACTCTACTGAGTGCAATTCTAGTTATATCTATATCAATCTACCTACACACTGCTTCAGACAAGAGTTGCAATAAGTCACAAAATGAAATGGCACAATACTGTTTATGCAGATATAACACATAGTTTATAATAAATGTTTGAAGAACATTCAATACTCATATCTATTCTAAACTTACAAGATTGTCATTACACTTAAATTGTCTCTTTTTTTTTACAGGCAAATTCCCGACAGCAGATAAGAGTCTCACTGTGTAGATGGATGTGCCTATGGTGACATACATCTACTCTGTTCATTCAACCTTATGAACCATTATGCTAGAGCCGAATGACTCAGTCAAGAGTGAATAACACCACAGGGAACTTAGATCAGTGCTACAATCATTCCAGTAAACTTGCAGTGTGTGTCCCTCAAGGGCCAGCCATCAGTGCTGTAGTGCTGCGTGTGTGTGTTGATTATTGGGGCAGGGGTACCTCTGAATGCCTGCATTAGCATCTTAGAGTTTAGGGTGTGGGGGTGTGTGCGACTTCATGTATATGCCTATTCACATTTACACCCCAGTAATTGAGTCTGACAGTGCTCCACATGTGCTCGGCCCCCTATTGCACATTACATGGAAGGGCTGTCATACAACATGCGTGGGCTGGGCTGACATGGCTAAAACAGGGTCACTGAAGACAGGAGGGATGTGATGTGATGTGTGTAAAGATCACGTCTCGCTCTGATCCTTAGACTCGGTATGTAAAACACTCCTTGTGTCAGCGTACACTGTGAATTCTGTGACCTCTGTTTTCACATTTTCCAAGTGCATCAACAAATCTTCAAACATGAAAAAAAAATGTCTGAGGCACGCTACCAGGATACAAACATAATAATATATAATTTAGAGATTGTGTGGGACATAAAGGGTTCTTAATTTTGACCCGTGTTGATGCGTTGGCGTTGAGCCACAGATGGACAGAGGATCGAAGAAGTTTGATGTCAGCTGACGGTGGGATCCACCTGCTGTGACACCGCTGACTGTGCTGCGGTCAGAAGTGCGACATGAATGAAAATCTGAGCCCACAGAGAGCTGAGCTGCAGCAGCAGGTGAGGTCAGCTGGGAAACTGTGGTGCAGCTGTTTTGATGTTGACCTTTACACAGACTGAGACGTCCTGCTGTTCCACATTTACACAATTTATTCATAATTAATCCGTCCTTTCCTTTAACTTTCATACATAGGATGGGAAGAATAACAGGAACCAGCTTCAGAAACCTACCTTTTTGTGTTTTGTACTCAAATATCTCAGTGCCCTGCCCTGAAGTGAAGTGCCCGAAGTAAGTGCAGTTTTCCTCTGTGAATAGAAAAAAAACAGAATTAAGTTCAGTTAGACACAGATTATTTGATTTGGCAGCCAGTTTGGGGATGAACACAAAAAATGTCCCTATTATCGGCTTATAAAGCTGCTATTTCTAACATGTTAGCCAACACCTTAGGCAGTATAGAAAGGTAGACGATATGACATCTCCCCAAAATCGAATTGCCCTCTGGTGACTGGCTGCAATATAAGTCGTAAACTGTTATGTACAGTCTAGGATTTACACATCCATTAGATGGTTTTGGTCTCAAACTACTCCTTAGGAATACTTCTGTCTTTATAGCTGCTCAAGGCTCCACTACACTGACCAGCTAGACTCTATATTGGACTGAATTTAAGGTAGATCGCTGCTTAAATATCTGTTTCCCTTGACAGGTAACCAGTGTTTTACAATTCGTTTTTATTTGACAGAATAATCGGAAGTTGTTGTTAGGTCTGTTATAAAGGTCTGCTCAACCTTTCCACAACTTGGTGGAAGCTTTGCCCTGCATGACCTGCACTTTATGGCCGGACTCCACCTGCTGTGGTGCACCGCGTGTATAAATTTAATTTGAACAATTCACACTGTCTCACATTGTTTCCTAAGTGTCTCACAGATTCACACACCCGTGATAATATTACCTCTGAACTGTATGCGTGACATTGTGACGTTGTGGGCCTTGTGACTTTCAAAGTAAAGGAAGTTATGGTATATATCCCGTTCTGTCTTTATTGGGTATTCAAGGTGTTAAACTGTGGGGATTTGCTCAAATGAAGTCAGTCTGATTTATGTGTGTGATCAGGGTGTGGTTAGGATACAGTAATACTCTATCATGCTTTGTTAAGTGTTCTGTCCAGAAAAAGATCAACTGTTGAATCCAGCGTGGAGACAGGCGTGGCGTTCTGTCATTTCACTTATTTCATACCACACGCTTGCTGGTGGAGGGATTTAAAAATGTATACGTGGTTAGCACACAGAGTGGCTCACACTTTACATCCGAGGCTTGGCTGCACATAACATGTGTTCCTGAGAGCAGAAGAATGTCCTGACATTAAAAAGAAATAACATGTAGGTTCGGAGGATCATATTTGCAGAGACTGAGTAAGAATATTTGTAAAACATCAGACCACCATGTCACCTCATCTCATGCAAAGACAAGTGCAGGTCAGTGATCTTGGTTATGCTACGAGGTCTCCACTCGCATGCCTGCTCCTAATCCCCCCTTTCCATACGGTCTCACTGTGGGACATGAACGATATGCATTCATGTGGAAATGAGTCATTTTGCCTGGTATCGTATCGTGGTTACAGCTCAATGACCCATGCTGGGAGGGAACACAAACACACACACATACACACAAAAATATGTTTTTATGAATGAGGACAGGGACTGGCCATCAGAACAGAGAGAAAACACAGAGGTTGTTACTAAGCAACGGGCTCCAGTGTTTTAGCATGTGATAGAGTCTCTTCAACTAGTTTTACTTCTGAGTAAAATCTTGTTTTCAAAAAGGGAGCCAGAGAAATATCTTTGAACCACAATCATTTCCCAAAACTGTTGAATATTCCACCTCTCAACTCTGCTTTATCCCTGTGTTGTAACACAAGTCAGATACGATTTTCGGCAGGCAGAGTGGCTCTTCATTGGCTGGATGCATATCTGGTCTAAGTGAGCAGCTCAGCGTTTAGTGGAACTCGGAGTGGATGCTTCAAGCACATTGTTGGCATCAAGTGGTTTGATTCCCACATGTGAGTGTCGCCTAATTGCACCTTTCTGAATGAGCTTTGAGTGCAAGCTTCAACAGAAACATGGGAACATGCTGGTGGTCATTAATTAATGTGTATTCATCTGTGGAGAGTGTGCCGACACACACACACACACCTGCACACACACGGGCATGCACACTCTATCTGTTGTTGGTCCTCATTCTGTTAGACTGTGCTGTAAATCTAAAGCTCTGTCCTGAAAAGACACTAATTCATCTGTCTAAAGTGAGTACACGGGATTATCAGCAACTCTGCACATTGTCATGTCACAGCATTATCTTTATTTTGAAGTACACTTTGTTTGAAAGTTCTGACACCAGTCTGTGGGGTTTTTGAGATTGTCCGCCGTCGTTCTGGGTATATTAGAGTGTAAATAAAGCTGAGTGCAGGAGTACATTAACGCGGTTAAAGTAACAACCCTTACGAGACTTTTTAAGAAGCAAAGCTAATGCACCCACAACGAGGGTGGGATCATTTAATCTGTCAGCACCACACCTGGCATTCTATTGGTTGTGGAGTTTTGAGAGACTTGTTACACAAAACAGTCCAAGTGCAGAAGGAAAAAAAGAGGAGAACATTTCATGCAGGCATTGACACAGCACCAGGAGAAGAGCTGAAACTAGAGTGCAGGAAATCTGTTCAAACAACACAACATTTTTAGCGCACGCAGCTCAAAATCCAAGCACAAGAAGTGGATATTTGAGTGCAAGCACATAGATTTGAGTAAGAGTGAAATCAATTAGTCCAGGTCTGAAACTGAAAGACCTTGCTTAAATAAGAAAGAAAAAATACCACTCAGTGATCACTCCAAATAAGGAAACTGACGTTTTGACTCGAATACAAACCCACAATAACACATCCCAATCAAGTGTTGAAGACATTAGCCTGTCTCTGTGTCGCTATATCACTTGACTGCCTAAAATACCAGTAGTTAAACTTTCTTTTTAGACTATGCATCTGTGGGGAGAGTAAGGTAACTTGAGTGGCTGTTTGAGCTGCACAGAGATTTGAAGCTGCAGAAAGGTCCCTTTGGGAACAGTTTTCGTGGGACGTCAGGTCTTAGAGCTATGCCCAACACTTCCAGCCGGCCCCATCACTCAGAGGATTGCTTGCTTTGGCATGAACACTAGACCCTCGCGGCTTCCATCCAAGACAGCTGAGTATTTACATGGCCTATATTTATAACTACAACGACTGCCTACTGAGCAGTTTGGGCAATATTCAGCCGTTGGAGGAGTAAAGTTCAGCGTGTTTGCAATTTCTTTGAGAATCAAACAGGAGGTGAGCGACATGGAGTAACTTTGTGACACGACTGGTGAAGAGGGTATATCTGAGGTTCCTTAGTTAATGGTTTACAGCAGCTCAGAAATCCAACCCAAGAGGAAATGTCAAATTGAAAAGACAGACAACATACACATAAAGTTTTTGTTGCCTGAGATCATCTCCCCATCTGCACTTTGTCCGCAGTCAACCTAAACAACACCTCACTTCCTCATATTTTCCTGATGAGCGTCTTACAGCGAACAGAACCTCCTCACACACGGTTTAAGTCCTGCTTTGAATCAGAGGTTTGACACCTCTGGGGGAACCCCTGTAGACTGAGAGGTCATCCACTCCATTTATTTACCATTAATAAAAGCTTTATAATTAGTATTTGCCAGTTGCTGCAGTCTGAAGAATTTCCCATATGTCTGGGTGGGCTGAGCTGCTAAGGTATATTCAGCACATGCCCACCATTCTTTCACAAATGAACCACCCTCAGGCTTTTCATCTGCTGCTACAGCTCTAGAGTGCAGACAGTGTCTGGGATTCCAAAAGTCAAGCAGCCACCATCAGATAGGGCATATTTTCTTTCAGCATATGAGTGGGACAACTTTAGCGGGAAATTCTAAATTATTTTAGTCACACGCAGCGTGGGACAGTGGGGCATTTCAGATAACAGAATGATTGAGTCAACCGTCTCTCATTCTACCGACGAGTGACTCTCACCGTATTTCAGGGATGTGAGTCATTGCTTGTCGACATCCATTTTGCACAATTACCATCTGCCTTTTATTCAGGCAGCAGTAAGAGCATCTGTTGTCATACAAACTTTATTTTGAGATGGTCACAGTGAAGTGAACCCTCATCAGGCCTGTGGTGAAATAAGTATTTAGATCAGTCCCTTAAAGGTCCAGTGTGTAAGATTTAGGTGAAAGGGAACTATTGGCAGAACTTGAATGTAGAATAATCCTCATGATGTTTTCACTAGTTCATTTCATCTAAATTGTATGAATTGTAGTTTTCTTTACCCCAGAAAAGACCCTTTATATTTAAATACTTTATATTTACATGGAGGGGGTCCTCTCTACAGAGGCCACCATCTTTTTTACATTAGTCCAGACTGGACAAACTAAACACCTTTTGAGTTTTATGACAATTAAAGGTTTCCAAAGGTTCTTTTTCAGCTTTAGAATGTTTGGAGGGTGAGGTGAGGGGTGTTCAGCTGCAACATGCAATTTCAACACTAGATATCACAAAATTCTACACACTGTACCTTTAAGTACAAGTGTTAATAACAGACTCAGTAACACACTCAATTCAATGGTACTGTTATCGCAGCAGAACGGCTCCTTTTAGAGCTGTATTAAATTTCCGACGTGTTTCTAAAATCTCAATCTGCAAAGTCCCATGTAACTAACACTAATGAATACTCTAAATGTAGAGACAATAGTTTCCTCCTGTTACATAATGTGTTGTCTTGTTTGTTTGTAAGCAAGATGACATAAAAACAAGAGAGCAGCCTTGTTGGAAAGAGGCCATAGAGGTCAGGAAAAAACCCTTTCAATTCTGGCATGGATTCAGAACAGGTTTTTTTTTTACTTCCTTCCTTTGCAATTTTCCCAGACAGTATTTCATAAATATTGATTAAATAAATCTGGCACATTTAGGGGATTGATATTTAGGCCATGTGAAATGTGGTGCCACTGAATTTTAGGGGCCTTTGCGATGGTATGTGCTCTGAGTGCCATTCTAGTTTGGAGGTGTATTGAAAAGAGCTTTGGTATTTGGGACTAACTTTAAAGACATTTATTTTGAGACAGAACTCTTCTTCACAAATCCTTAATGACTGAAGAAACTGACAGTGATACAGTTCCACTAAAGTAATGTGGGTTAAATCTGATGTATTGTGGTTCTTGTAAATTGCAGCTGCACAGAAACTAGTTTTTTCGGTAATAAATAATCATTTACCAATACAACTATGGGGACCTGGAAATATCCAATTAAAGTGGCTCAGTATTGTCCTTTAGTAAATACTATCAGTAAATCACTGATTAAGTTCTATTGTAATATCAGTTCACTTATAGTGTTTGTGAATATCTCGTGCTGGCGCCCATGTTGTGTAAAGTGTCAGTTGTCTGCAGGCTCTGCACCAGCTGGTTTTACTGAAACACGTCCACACCCTTAGAGGAGCAGCCACCTGTGCAATCAGCTGTCGTGGGGGTTCACTGGTTGGTTTAGTGCAAACCTGCAGCCTGTTGGGACTCTGTGACACATGCGTGCTCGGATATTTGTGACAGACAGTCTTTACAACTGTTTGTCGAGGCGTCCCCACAAGGCCTTGTCATGGATGTCACCCAGTTGTTTGTCCGAAAGAGGGGCGGCGAGTACCAGCGCCCACATAACCAAGTTTCTGTGGCTGATTTGCAAACCTCCATGGCAGCTTGAAAATGTATTTCTGAGCTGCATTTCACAACCACTGATGATGTCATTAGAAACCATTAAAAACATGTGATCTGTGTTTCTGAAGTTTAATCATGCAGACTTCTTGTGGTGTCATTGCCTCAGGTTTATCACATGATGACACGCCACATGCATGTGACTTAGAATAGGTTCTTCCTTTAGAATCACAGCGGAAATTATAGTGTCATATGACCTGTTCGGAGTCATCTCTATTCTTAGTAGTGTTGTACCTCATGAGCACTGGGTTTGATTGCATAGAGGCACCTCACACACACAATATCCATGCAGTATAGACACCCTTAGGTGCAGAGACAAAAAGGGGACATGCGTTGTTTAACTTCAGTGCTGAGATATTCCTCTTACCTCCAGGCAGGCTGATGGGTCCGCAGCCATGTTCCACGGTGTTTTCCGAGCTAATGTAAATATGCTTCTTGCACAGTCTCCACAGGCCAAAGTGGGCCGCCTCACAGGTCTCATTGACTCTCTCCACGTTTGGGCTGAGCACGGCCCAGTGGTCCGTCACCACCGCTGTGAACGTGCAAGCCATACCCACCAGCAGCACGAAGATGGCAATCTTTATCTTTGTGCGCTTGTGCATGTTTCCAGGTGATGAGATTTCTGTTCAGTGAATATTCGTCCCTCGATATATAAAAAAAGGGAAAAATTAATCAAATTGTTCTGCAATGTGGACACTGGTCTGTGTCCCAGGGGTTTCTCTTCTCAGTGACTGCAGCAAGCTTCCAAGAAAGTCTCCTCCCTGACTAAGACCAGTGTCTTCTCTCCCCTGTCGTAAATCTGTGCCTCTGGTTCGACGGGAAAGCGGCCAGACTGCTCCTGTCCTAGTTTCAAGTCCCCTTTTCCCTTCTCACCATGAGCTGTGTGCACAACTGAGGGACTACAAGTTTAGCCTTACAGCTGTTGAAGCAGATCAGGAGAGTTGATGACCAAATCAACTGTCTGCCATGGTGGGCAATGGGCATGGAGGCTGCAGCATGTGTTGGTAAGTGTTTTGCTTGGGTGGGGTGTGGCTGCTGGAAGCTATAAATGTGACAGTTGAGTCAAGTTGTCAGGTCGTCGGCAGATCCGGTTACATTGCCAGCGTGCTATAACAAGTGGACTCACAGTCGTCTCTAATCATATTTACACACACAAACTTTCAGAATGCATTGTGTGAATACTTTGCCATACTGCTTGTTTCCATCCATCTGCAGTGGCTGTGCTTAAACTCTCTGCCTTGTCTATTTAAACAATTTATAAGGAGAAGGTGGATGTGTTTATATGGCAGCGGTGAGGCTCAAGCTGTCAGAGCAGCAGAGGAGTTTTCCTCATAAAGCAAAACTGCTTTTAATTTATTCATGTCATGTTTTATAGTCCAGATTATGTTCAAAACATTCACACCATTTCCTTTATTGAAATATGAAAATAGAAAATCATATGAGTGTGTCAAATATTTCTGATCACTTCTGTGAATGTCTCTCTGCTGGTTACAAAAGGTTGAATCAGTAAAGCCATTTAAGATCTGGCCTCTCTTCATCCATCCTCTATCTGTACTGCTCAGCCTTTCTTACGGTGAAGGGACAGGAGCTAATTCCAGCCAACTTTGGGTGAGGCTCTACAGGTCGTCAGCCCATTCAGAGTTAACAAGCATTCACACTTTTCAGTCAATTTTGAGTCTCCAGTTTAGAATGTGGGAGGAAGACAGAGTACCCAGAGAAACCCACACAGACACGGGGAGAACATTCAAACTCAGGGATCCGAACCAAGAACCTTCTTTTTGTGATGTGGTGCTAGCCACTGCACCACAGTGCAGATAAAGAAGACAGGTAGGCACTGAAAAAGATTAAAAACATGTAATTTAAAGAGATTAATGATACATTTAACCATAGAGGGATTCAAAGGAGTTCATTCGTCGCTGGTTCATTTCTTGTAAATTTTCTTGTAACATTATAGGTTATAACCTCACATGATTTATATGCATAACACAACATTATTTCTGTGCAGTAATTTGTCATTGCATTTAACTTGATGATCATGGCAACGCGTAGTGTTTGCAGTTCGAACAAGGCACTAATGTCTATCAGCCGAAGATGATGATACTATTTAACAACTAGATAGAAAGCATACTGAACATATCTCTGAAAATGTTGTGGTTAAAAAGGATGTTGTTGCAAAACAAAGCACAACCAGAAGTTGTACTTTCACAGATTTGAAGGTCTTTGATCTTTTGTTTAAAATATGAAAAATGTATTCTTATTCTTTTATTGTAAGAAAATACAGTTGTAAAGGTGATTTTTCTTTTCCAGTCTAAAAGGCTTCAAAACGGATGATGGATTAAAAAGAAACAGGGAAAATGTTGTTTGGATGATATGAAATACCAAAAGGTGCATTAATCTCTTTTTAAAGTTTCCCTACAGTAAATCTTTTTGCTATGCACTGTTTATCTTTTCTAAGCCATGGCCTAGTTTGAGTCTCTCTGTGAGAATTGTGACCCACTTCCCCCCAGTGTGAACACAAGACACCAGACAAAGTCAAAAAGTCTCCACGGCAACAAAAGTAGAACTTGAGAAATAACTGCAAATCTGCAGACACGACATGGGAGCATGTGTATGAATGCACTCACCAGCTGCGGAATCAGTCACCAACTACACCCACCCACTTACTGTATGTCCCGGTAGGAACTAGAGTACTTTCCCTGCACAGCTTCTCAGTCAAATCCTCCTAGAAAACAACTCAATTTACAACCTGTCTCTTATTCATGTCACTTCAGTCTCCACTTCTATTGGAAATGACCCCAATACTTCATATTACATTTCACAGAACATTGCAAACAGGAACAATCATAATCCAAATCTTTTGAAGCAATATCTGTATTTGGACATGGACATGCTCCCCCAGTGTCCATCACAATTACCCATCAATCCAACCTGCAAGTAGTCTGTATCTAATGGATATTTGGGAGATTATTTCACTTTTTTGACCTCATGAAGCTGCCTTGATTTCTCTAAACATAACATTTCAATTACTATGTAAAATATGTCCAAAGGTTTATCACTGCATATTCAAATTGAGACAATACCTTTCATGCCATATTTTTGCAGCATTTTGTTTTGTTACAGGACAATTGGACAAACTGCAAAGGGTCCTGTAAATCTAACAGCTGGAGGAAACTTGTTTTCAACTGTACCTTTGACAACAACCTGCGTCAGTGACTTTTAGAAGGGTGATGCACCATTCAGTGATGGAATTAAACCAGACTGGCTGAGTTTACCTGGTTCCAGTGCTCTGACACCATCACCAGCGTCAGCATTGATGTTGGAGAAATGGAATTCAATTTGTTTAGACTATGAATTTGTTTAGTTCTCCTCACCTCACGTGCAGGTTTGGAGACAGTGTGACCCTAAACGTGGGTGAGGCCATGGGGGCACTGGCCCCAGCTGAATTCTGATGTGCCCCTGTTCTGTCTGTTGTCTTATTTTTTTGTACTTACAAGAAATCAATATGACAATCTGTCCAAAAAAAGGCTTTTTGATTTACACAATGTGCTCAAGCAGGGAACAATTTCAAAATATATTCAATGATGTGTAGCTTTGCTCATAGCTATAGAGCTAACAGCTAACCGGGAATGACTAAAATGTGCAACTTACTGAATCAGGAATTGTTGTTGGACATATAATTGGTCCCTGTGTGTTAATTGTGGCCCCTTTATGGCCCCTGATTTAGAAGAATGCAACGTCCGCCACTGCAGACGTTCTGGACCGACCGGCCAAGGTGTGTCCTCCCTCTGGTCAATGTGAGCTGCTGGCTTCTTATGTCCTTTAAAGTATTATTGAACTATAAAGCAAACATGTGCCTTGACCTTACAGCTGCGCTTGGTGAAAATATCTTTACAACCACACATCAGTTTATTTTTGTGTGATGGGTGGTGCCTTTGAAATGCCAGATTTAACCCCGGTGTATTTCTGGGTGTTTGAGGAGGAACAGTTCTGTTAGTTGAAGCAGGTAAAGTTTTCTTAATTTTCTAATAATATCACAATAGATTTAAGTCATTTTTGGGCAGCAATCTGTCAGTCAGATGATATTTTAATTTGATTGATTTTGATAATTAATGTGTTTGAGTTATTTATCGTAGAATACTGAATGTTTACTGTTTCATGCTTCACAAAGTGTAAAGACGTCAGCAATTTTTCATTATGGATTTTTAGATGGAGCAATGAATCATTTATCGTCAGATGTTCAATAAGTCAATAACCAGAATAATCATAAATTGCAGTTTAAAACAGTAATTGCTATGTTATTAAAATGACTGAGAATTGGAGAATTGATACTTGCTGTTAACAAGGAATAGATTTTTGTTTTCTCGACTCAAAAGACAACCAGAATAATTCAGCATATTTTGGATACTATAAGTAAACATAAAGTTTAATAAAAAATATACAGTAGTAGTCATTTATGTGATTCATGTTTATGACAATAGTGGGCAGTTACTTCAATAAGATTACAACCATTGGAAGCTTCTGTAGTACAAGGTGTGAAGTAAGTTAATACTCTGGTATATTTCATCACCACTGTTCTGATAAAAAGCTTTTCTGTTCTGCTCATATTTCATTGATTAATCTTGTTTTTGTCGTCACTACTATATATGTCATTAGTTTGATTACGCACATCACAGAGACATTTGGGCTGACTAACATCTCTGGTAGACATTAGTGCCTTGTGCCAACTGCAAACACTACGCTTTGCTATGACCATCAAGTTAGCAAAGACAAATGTCACTACACTGACCTTTAAATGGCTGTTGAAAGGTTCAGACTTGGTATTTAAAGTCTTATTTTGAAGAGGGCCCTAAATAGTAAAGAAACCTGTGAGTGTGTGTAACATTGAGATGGAAGGGGGAAGTACACTTTCGTGTGTGTGTGTGTGTGTGTGTGTGTGTGTGGATAAACACTCCACAGTGAACTCTTAATCAATCCACCTTCATTTTGAGTGATGACACCATAGACTGTATATAAAGGATGACACTGACATAATGACTTCCACAGAGGCAACAACTCCTGATTACACACAAAGGCCGGTTCAACAACCTTTGACCTTTGTTGCTCTGAGCCCGCCTCGCCGGTGCTGTAAGTGTTGGTCTGAGTCCTCAGGGACGGCTTCAAATATCTTCCCTGGGAAATAACCTTTCCCTTGGACTAATGGTGTGGACAGAAGCTGAGCCACTAAACCTTATTGACTGTAATCACAGAGGACACATAGCTGTATTGATTATGTCTTATCATGACTGCTCCTCAGCTGCAGGGGTGAGACCTTAATGCTATAGTCAAAGCAGGAATTGATCATTTTCTAGTAAAGTTAAGTTGTATTTTAAATCATGGTGCTGTTTGGCCTCAGTTGACTAAACCTTTTGTCTATGCAGGCTCGAGAGGCACGATAGAGTCAAGCTTTAGACCGATATACCAGTGAGGTCTCATGTGTAAGATGTGTGCATCAACATAGGCCTATAATCATTGGTGGTGTTGACAAGCTGAATTAATAGTCCACCTGATAAAAGACTTGCAATAATCAAATAAAGCTATAAACCATTGATTCTTGCTCCTGAATTCTGTGTTGCATATTTCTCTTCTACAACTTTATAAATGAGAAGGACATGTGGTTACTATCTTTCCCAGCTGTTATGAAAATGTAAAATTATTGAAATCAGCCTCCACCTTCTGCTCCACCATGTGTTTTTTTTCTTGTGTACTGTTAATTCACAACAGAGGCTTCTGGTGTGTGGCAACCTCAATTACTAAATGTTTCTGCATGTTTAAAGCAAAGTTAAAATGTACTCACTTCATCTTTAAATGTGGATGAAGGGGTATGAACTGAATTGGTTTAAAAAAATAAGACAGTGACCATCAGTCTTTATGAGGATTTGATAAACAGGGGGATCTAGATGAATTTCTGTAAACCAATATTGAAGTATACCAATCAAATTCTAGTGATATAATCCTGATGTAACTTCACATGTTGATTGTGTGACACTTTCTATTAACAGATTTTGCAGATTATACATTATTGCCTGTTTTCATTTCTTTGAAAATACATTGATGCCCTCTGTGGACAACTGATTATGGAGAGGTGTGTTGGCGATTGTGAGGAAGCTGCCACCAGTCAGGTCAGCTCGTTGTTAATTAATTCTAAATATTTGGTATCTGTTAAGAATACTTGTTTCTTTGTTTGCGTTGTCAGCTAAATCAGGATCCACTTTAGTTGATAAATGTTTTTGTTTAAATTAATATATTTTCATTCAATTATTTGTTTAATTGTTGCTTGTTTGCCTTGATTTCTAATCCTTGTTTTCTCTGAGGTTCACTTCCTGGTTGAGGTGGTGCTCATGGATGCTCGGACATGAACTACATTTCCACCAGGTGGTTTCAATGTGGACTAAACCATGTAGGAATGAGGAATGGGGGGAGGGAGCAATTGGTTTTCTTTTGTATTTTATTTTTCTCCTGGCCTTATGTAATATTAGCTCTAGCCTCAATAATTTGTTATAGAGTTATTGTACTCTTTAATGTATGCATTTAAAGACACTTTATTAATATTCTTGTTTGCTTTAATTGTTTTCATTTACCTTTTCTATTTAAGGGATGGTTTTACCCAAACATATTTAAAGTTATTGTTTGAAGCATTCAGCCATTTTGTCTGTGGGCTGGGGACCTTTCTATCTGTCTATGAGTTTTTGTGTATGGAAGCCATGTATCTTTATCTTGTGAGAATGTAAAATCTGAGCGCTGAATCAAGTTCCTGGACTTCTTATCTGATTGTTAAGTTGCACTTCCATTCTCCCAGACTGACTGCTCACATCCTGAGTTTAAAGGGTTGAAACACAACTTGCAGAGACATTAGTGAATAACAATTAAGGATAAGAACAATTTCAATATCTTAAATCTCAGGAACTGAAGTTCATGTTAAATCTTTCCTTTTATTTATCCGGTTACCTTGATTTCGTCCTCACTCATTTTTGTTGGCTATTTGTTTACTAATATCTTTGATGCCTTACAAAACCAGTGACTGGGTAAAAGAAGAGGTTGATTGCATCATGAAACGTTTGCTTTTTGTCAGATCTTTCATTTCTGCAGACATTATAAACTAATTGGATGTATTACACTGTGCTATGAAGATCTCATGTTTTCCATGTGTCTTAAAGGGTTGAGCAGCAACTGCTGAAGGCTCAATCAGTCTTAGCACAGTGACAGATGTCATCCTAATGGATGCCTGTGGTTCCTGGATCAACATGGCACCAATATCAACAGGGAGCGAGGAACCGAGCCCCCTGCTGGGAGAAATGTCAGCCATTTCAAATTGTCTAAAAGAACTTGGGAGAAGGGAGAGAGGGGGCCTGTGGAGATGGGATCTCTTAGGAGGAAATTGCATCTGGTTTTCACATAATATTAGATGAAACAGCGATTCCCTGATATAAGTGGATGTAATGGATGATGTTGCTCTCACTACTCATGACATGTGGGATTTCAAGCTTCATCTAAAATATTGCTGAGAAGCTTTTCTTCACTGAAACAGGTATGACTCTTAGGAGAGCTCATACATCCGGCAAGGCTCACCAGTCCCTTAAATGCAATCAAGCTGCACTAAATTTCCCACACTCCAATATATCAGTTCCTTAAATGAACAAACTAGAACAACACTCAGCAAAGAACATCCCTCCACCAACAGTCCCCTTATGAAACCACATTTAAATTCACTAGATCCAGATTTCTATTGGGATCTGCACCAAATTACAAATAAATATCATTCCCCTAAACAGTTTTTCATCAAGATCCATGAATTAGCTCAGAAATCAATGGGAATGTTGAAAAATGACGACCCCACAACATTAAAGAAAGGGAAAGAAATCCTGCATCTGCCCACTGATGTAGATTGGCAAAAATAAAATGAACGTGTTCTTCCCTAAACAATATCACGTCCTTCCACCAAGTTTTGTGTAAAGTTGTTTTTGTATAACCTAAATCACAAACCAACCAATAAACAGACAGGGGTGAAATATGACCTCTTGACAGAGGTAATAACAGTATAGCTGAGAAATGTTTTTTCCAAATCAAACAAACCATAGCTGGCTGCTGTGTTATGGCTGTAGGTATGAAATGGTATGATACTGCAAATCAGGTTTCAACGACAGAACCTGAATGAAGTCCTCTGAAACAAAACTTAATTCGCCCTACACAGGGAGGCACTGATGCTAACAAGCACTTTGGCTTTGTCCTGTGAGTGTACTGAGAGCTGGCCCTGCCGTTTTCCGCTCAATTACTGGAGGAGATATTTCACCAGGGCACAGCAGGAGGAAGCAGGGGGATGGGATGGAGTTGCCGGTTCAGGCTTGGTAGAAAATGAAAATATCAGCACCCATGACATTCAAATTCACAGAGCTCAACAGTCTGGGTGAAGGAGAGAGGAGAGCGGTGGAGAGGAATCACTCAAATGCAGGTCAGGGACGGAGAAAACAAGGTCATCAGACCAGTGTGGGTGTAACAAAGATGCACCACAAACGCATGGAATGAAAATAAGTTGATTCTAATTCAAGGCTTCCCCTTCTCCCCCTCAGTGACTTGAACAACTAGAGAGATGAGGCTGTGAAGCGACTACACTGATGCAGATCTCCTTTAACGCCCTGTGGTCGGCCGAATGTCTGCCATGTAGCTCCGTAGCGGAGCCCATCAACACTGCATCATTAAATAAACCCTTTGTGTGTGAGGAAAGCACAGCCAGCGTCGCCTCATTCGACCACTTCTCAGCTCGTATTTCAATGTCAGACCACAAGCAGAGTGAAGTTAACTGTAGCTCGGGTTCAGTGGGTTCACTGGTCTTTGATTCTGATTTAAGAAAAATCACAGTATTTTTGCCAGAATGCGACCAAAGGCACCTTTAACAGAATAAATGGATCTGCAGATAAATGGAACCACTCTATCATTATACAGAATTTTTTCACTATCTATCATGCAATGGAAGAGGTTTCAGATCCAGAAGAATGAATACATAACTACGTCATGACACAAATCCGTTGTCCATTCCCTTTAAAAATTATACATTTCCAGACAAACGTGATTATTGATACGAAACAGTAAGAATACAGAAATCTGCATCAAATTAAATACTTTTCTCGTAGCATGATCAAACAAACTGGACCAGACAAAAACCTTTTAAACATTAAAACATTAAATACAAGCCCTGTTTACTCTACTGCAGATGGTTTTTGGAACTGTCGTTTCACCTCCATTTAAAATAAGTTGACAGCTCCATTGACGTTTAAGTATTATTTTAAAGTTTTATGCCTGGAACCAGGTCGACCGGCTTCTAGAGGAATGAAAATGAATGAAGCATTTCATTTGAAGCAAAAATGATTATATAGGAGAACATGAAAAAAGAACCACACTGTTGAGCTCTATTTGGTGAGGCCAACTTCTGTGAATGTGGCACAGTGATGCTCAATTTAGTTGCAAACTTGCAATTAGACCTGGCAGTGCAAAGCAAACAGAGATAAACCGGTATATATGCTGTTGTTGGTATATTTTCATTACACATAGCCAAAGTGGGCATGCACCAAGTATATCATTTTACATATAAACAGGGATACACAGAAACAGGAGTTTTGAAAATCTGTGCTTTGGAAGATGTTTTTAAAAATCTGTGACTTAAAGGTTCAGTGTGAAGAATTTAGTGACAACTGGTGGTGAAGTTGCACGTTGCAGCTAAATACCCCTCACCTTAACCTCCCCCTCCAAACATGAAGGAGAACCTGTGGAAACCTTCAGTTGTCATAAAAAGGTGTTTAATTTGTCCAGTCTGGGCTACTGTAAAAAACATGGTGGCCTCCGTAGACAGCTCCCTGTGTAAATATAAAGTATTTAAATATAAAGGGCTCATTCTATGGTGAAGAAAACAACAATTCATAGTTTAGATGAAAAACACTAGTGAAAACAACACTAGGATTATTTTATGTTCAATTTCTGCCATTAGATCCCTTTCACCTAAATCTTACACACTTAAGAAAAGACAGTTTGTTTTATAAACATCTGCATTAGTGAAGACTGGGCAGCAGAAGCAAAAATCATATTAACTCACACAGTTTGATCTCACCTCTTCCTTTACTGGAACTGTCTGACGGAAAATAATTCATCGTCCCTGAGTGAAGGGAGCGCAAACTACACACACACACACATACACAGTCTGTACAAATAGTGTTTATACTGATACATCACACAGCATACTGGAATGTACTCACATTACTTTGTGTCCTGTCATTTTTGTTGATATTTATCTACAGTTATAATCTTAGTGTGGCAGTGTTTCAGAGGCAGATCGCACACTTTCACATAACACACACATTTATCACGCAACTCATGACCAAGCTTGAGAGAGGAGTATTCAAATGGCAGTTGAGAAGGCTTAAGACGATCAAAGGTGTACTAGTTAGCACCAGTTGTATCACAAAGTTACAAACAAACACAATACAATTATACTTGGATTACAAACAATCAAGTGTATCATTTCATTTTAGCAAACACTTTTGTAGAAAAAATGTCTCTTCTGTCGGGATAAAAGAAATAATTAGATTTTCCGAACACTGCGCAGCTACTTTAGAAGAAAAAACGTGTTTACCTGAAGTTCAATAACCAGAATCTTTATAATGCTGAGCATCACATCTGAAAGGTTCTTCCTTTTATCAAGTCTTCAGTGACTGTCCTTCAGAGAATACCAGTGCAATATTTTAATCCTTTTGTGTAAGAGCAGAAGTCACAAATAATGGGCACCACATTTTTAGAATTAATGCTTAACCAAGATATTGAGTTGTATCATAAAAGAGTTATTTTTGTTATCAGTTCTCTGAATGAAATGCAGACTGGCACTTTTCTGTCACAGAGGGACGCAAGGAAAACAATTTTGAGCTCTGACCTTTTAATCGCTGCTGCCTGAACAGCCCCAGGGTGGGAATTGTCCTTTCTCATCAACTGTACAATATCTAATGTGCTCCGTCAAGCAGCGATACACTCCTGACCTCATACCGGCGTCGTCCTCCTGTTCACTCCATCTTTCAGATCCTTTTGGAAGCAGTTGTGGACTTGTAAAAAGCCAGAGTCCCTCTCAGGGCTGTAGGGCCCTGCAGCCCCACTTCCACCCTTCAGGGGGTCCCGACTGAGGGTGTACAGGGATATATCCCCCATCGGCAACCCCATTCCCAACCCTCCTCCTCCTCCTCCTCCTCCACCGATCTTCATCCCTACTGGGGAGGGCTCACGGGATGGGTCAGTAGATCTGGAGCTGGAGCGTGAGCGCCTTCGTCTGTGGCGGTAACTTGGGATGCGGGAGTAAGGTGAAGAGGAGGGTATGGTTTTGATGAAGTCGTGCCTGGCTCGGAAGCGTGTCTCTTTGTTTTTCTCGATGTAAATGTTGATGGCAAGAACGCCCACCGACTCGGCCACAATGAAGGAGAGGGCGCCGAAGTAAAAGGACCAGCCGTAGTTGTAGTGGTTTTTCTTGTCCTCGTCTTTCTTGTCACTGGGATCGCCAGCGTTGCTGGAGATGTAAACGATGATGCCGATGATGTTGCTTAGGCCTGGAGACAGAAGTGAGAGAAAGAAAGATGGAGGGAGAAATGTAAAATCCATAAAGTTTAAACACAAGAATTGACAATAACATTCTGCACATACACACTTTACTGCTATTATTGTTACAGCCCTATTCATCTATCCTTCACAGTCAAGACCTAAGAACATGTAATTAAAGTCAAACAACGTCCCTGCACTTCCTAGTAGTAGAAATGAATGGAAAATATCCTGGATACGAACACTGCTATCTTGCAAATTCGGAGCCAAAGTCTCCAAAGTATCAAGTGAAGGATGGAGCTGGGGAAGTGGGGTCCCGCTGATGCACACAACCAATCAGGAGTCACCAAAGTCACTAAAGGGAAACCTTCTTGTCTTGTGTCTGTCTTCTCGTTCTGCCTGCTGACAGCCTCTCCCTCCGTCTGCAACACAATCGTTTTGTTCACGCCCAGGTGTCAGTTTTGTCGTACCTGCAGCCACAAACAGGATGCCAGCACTGAGCAGGATGTTGTTCCTGCTGCTGTAGATGCGTCCAACACCGACACACAGGCCACCCAGCATCAGCAGGACGTTGCTGAGGATGGGGAAAAGGCTTGATGCACGTACTATACCTGTTCAAGAGACAGAGGACAAGAGAGAAGGGCCTCACTGTCAGTGCAAAAGAAGAAACACATGCTGGGTAAAGTCCTTGTTTTTTTACGAGTGCCAAAGATAACTAAAAATCCTGAAATTCAATCAGCTAATCTTTGAGTCCAGTTGACAACTGGTCAAAATGAGAAGAATTTCTCTGAAAACAGACTTGAAATATCAAACCTGTTTTGTGAAGCCACAGTGACCTTGCATTTGTGAAAAGGGATTCCCTTTCAAAGCATTCTTAAAATAATGTGGTCACAAGTCAAAACATGGATTTGTAAGGTATCAGTGACCTTAAATTCTAATAACTTCATCCATTAGTCCAAGTAAATCTTTATATTAGCTCAATTTCCTCAAGGCGTTCTGGAGATTCACAAGTTCACAAGGCAACACTTGTTTGTTTTTTTGTGTCAAGTATATATTAAGTATCTAAGTATATATTGTGTTTGAACCTTAAATATATCCTTAAATATTAAAATATTAGTTTGCTTTTGTATTGACAAAGAAATATATTGTGGTTACATTTGCAAAAGCTCCAACATGAATATTCATACTGACCCAAAAAAATTCATTGTCAGTGACTCTCGCAGTCTGTGATTTATATTAGTGCCATTAAAAGTACTACTCACTATAGTACTATTGTATCAGTCACAGTAGCAGGAATAATACAGTAATACGTAACAGTCATAAGTGAAAGGATTTGATTTATTTATTCACCTTGTGTAGACAGTATAATTGTTATTCATGAGGTTATTCAAACACATGAGATTAGTTTCTTGTATTTTTACATCAAGAGTTGAAGTACTTTAAACCCTCAACTGTAATCCCCTAACACTTCAGGCAAACTGTCAACTATACAAACATTAAACTGCTCCTGCGCCAAGCAATGTGATATCTGAAGCCCAACTGGCCCCTGAATATAACAATATGTGGCAGGTGTGGCTGACATGTGTCGTACCTCTGTCACAGAAATATAGGGAGTGAAAGAAGAAGCAAAAACAGACTGTTAGGATCAACAGATCAATATTCAGATACTGCGCCCTGGTTCTCAGTCACTTCCCCAGACGCTCTTGCATTTCCATGATGGTAACCAAGAGAGGGCTTGATTTAATTTCCTCAAATTTACAGGTAAATCTCATCTGAACAAATATGGATGAAATAGTAGCAATAGCAGAGGTTATATATCTTTCAGTGCCTGTGCTCAGAGTGACCTCTCTCACCGACACTTCGTTAAACTACCTCGGTCGAATGTGAGCGGTGTTCTCTCTCTAATGTGGAGACGAGACATATTACTCATCAGCCCACAACACACTTCATCATTTCTATAGCTCCAATTAGTGTCATGACATCAGGCTTTTATGGGGGAGGGATGGAGATGTCATGACACATTAAGTACCCCAGTGCTAACTTCATCACCACTCCCAAAAAAAGACAAAAAAGAAAAGAGAAGCGAGCAGATTAAGGGATGAAGCGTTTGAAGATAAGATGTTGCAATCACTTACGTAAGATGTACTCAGAGCTGTCTGTGTCATAGTCGTTATCCTCCGGGAAGTGATTGATCCGGAAACAGCTTCCTTTATTGATACCTGCGGAGAAGCCAGAAGCACAAATGTTAATGCGACTGAAAAACAATGACAGCAGTGAAAGGAAAATACTGCGTCTTTATAATAGAGCGTGACACAAGAAGCTTTGTTTAATACAGAAGATGTGAGAGAAACTACATGTTGACCATCCGCTGAATCAACACGCAGCTTTCTTGATTCTCAGATAAATAAGATATGGAAAACAGTGTCTTTAATGGTGAAGAATATCTATAGTGGTGGAGAACTCGACTGTTTTCCCCTCTAACTGTGTCAGAAACAATTTCAGGACAAGCTGCATGTGTGGATCTGGGTTTCTGAAGTTCTCGAGCCCTCAGGCACCTTTTATTCAAAGACCCAGTCTCTTCTCTGAGAAAATCTTCCCTCCACTTTTAAGAGAATAAAACATTGGGGCATTATGAATATTAAAAGATTAGACTTTGATTTAAAAAATCTGATGCCTGATTTTCACGGCTGCCTCTTGTCTCTGTCTTTGTTGTTGTGTTAGTGGCTTTGAGACGATGCCAGACACCAAAAAACCAGATGTGTCACCTGACATGAGAATAATCTATCTATTCGAATTTATGTATGAAGTTAATAACATTGAACCCTTAACAATGACACATGAACTAGACTTATCATAGAGTGAATTCTCCAGATTTATTTTAAAATACTAAATTGTAATAGCATAAGCTCTTAATATAGTTGGATATTAGGTGAGATAATGCTTCTTCAGTGAGTCGATGAGGTAGGTTATTTAATTTAAACAGATTGCCTATAATTGTCAACTTTAACATTCAGTCAACTTTTATTAAATCATAGAAAATCCAAATTGCCAATTTAAAAAAATGTTTCATAGCAAATATTGGTCAGAAGTGTTAAAGTGACCAGAAAATGCACAGATGAGGTACATTATTTCTTTGTGGTGTTTAATTGTACAACCATGATGAAACCTGCAACTCTGAACCGCCCACTCCTTCATGTGCAACGTGACTTCTCCTCAAAAGTGAATCCAAAACGCCTCGATCACCACCTGCTGAGGTGCCTCCTCCATGTTGGGGAATGGGACATAGACAAATCTAAAAAGTCGAATTAATTTTTCTCAAAGACGGTATCTATAATTTTAGGTCGTTTTTATCCACTGATGTATGTTAAAGTTGTAATTTTTCCAGTAACTTTTGTTTTAAATACCTATTTGATGCTATTAAAATGTGGTGAAAAGTAGTGATGACAGCTGAGACTGACTCATGATTGGTCAAGAATATGTATAAGTAGGAGCCCAGACTCAGACTGCTAATAAGATAGTTTTATTGTTGGATAGTGGGAGAATGTGGCGATGCGTTGTTCATCTTTGTATACAGTGTATGGTGTTTACCCAGAGCCCCTTCAACTTTTCTTAGAAAGTTTGGACATGGCATTTGTCTGCAGTTTCTTTATGGTTTGTGTCTGAGAGTGCTGGAGAAGAATGAAAAGAGACAGAAAAGAGAGAAAAAAAATAAAAAAACATATTTAGCAGTCCAGACTCTCTCAACCTCATTCATTCAGTCTCTTTCAACTCTCAGCCTCAACACACACTCACCACTGTCACGTCTCAATTACACAATTCTGTCCTATCTCATGTTGTTAATTCTTTCCCTCTTCAGCCTTCTCTCAGCTACCGTTGAATTTTTTATGTGCTAAGCACCCTCTTTGGATCGATACAGCAGCACAATCACTGTGTAATGTATGCAGTACCCTAGGTGCATGTATTTTATATTTCTGAGATCGCTGTTTCAATGTAATTGGATTTACCCATGATTGTTCCCTCCAAAAGATATTGGAAAAAAGTGACAGGTGCATAGTTAAGAACAGCAACAAATAATAAAGAAATCAGATCAAACCAAAAGTAAAGAGATGTCAAAGAAAAGTTATTATATAAAATAAATCCTACATGGAGGCCCAGGGAGTTAATAACCCGAGGAAAGACGGTGTGAAAGAATGAGAGGGAAAGAGAGCGAGCTCAGTAGGGGAGGTATCTCCCCAGAGCCCATCTGTCTGAGAGCTCGGAGCCCATCTTTTATTACTCAGCATAGCTTCACCATGGCAACCTCCCCCCCGGCAACCCAGAATCACATTTCTAGCTCCGCTTCTCAGAGGACGCCTTTGACATCTTACTAATGCATTCAGTAAGCATAAACACACACAAACACACACACACAAAAAGCCCCAGAAGCAGAAATCAGTCTTCCTGATACAAAAGCTCATATAATCAGGTAACACTTGGTGTGATGGGGCTTTAGCAAGTACGAGTTGTATTTTTATTTCAGCATGATTGGCTGAAGAACAACATCAATTTGTTTCCTTTGAAAAGCTAATTTGCCACCAACGCTCACCTTCAGTGAGCCTCCTGTGTGTTTGACAAGATTCGACACTCATACAGATGTCAGCTCGGCACACAGACCAACGTGATTTCTTCTACAAGGTTAGCCAAAGACTCCCGCGGCTTAACCATAGTTTATGCCTCTCACTTGACCTAATATAACTCATTAGAGTCCCTCTTCCCATTTCTTTCTGAGAAAGGATTAGACTTCAGGGCAAGAAAGAAACCAAAACCAAGTAGATACTTTCAAAACAACCACAAACAGGTAGGCTACAAGGGAACATAAAGAATGATTCTACTGCAAATAAGTATCAAAGGTGCATCCCAGTTGCTTAATGTTTTAAGTCAATAGAAAGCAAACCTTTGACTGAGGTCATCGTCACTCTGACTTCACAGAACTCTTGGTGAAGGGACGGATCAAGGGGAAGAGACAGGGGGGCACTGGCCCCAGCATAAAAACTAATCATGTACTAACAACACTAACAATACATTTGACGATTCGTTAAGCGTTTTAATTTATTAAGCTTTTTTGAAGTACACATGCTTGAATGGAACAAAATATATTCAATGATGTGTGGCTTTTCTCAAAGCTATAGAGATAACAGTAAACAAGGAATGTGCACTTGCATCAGGAATTGGGCATGAATTTGGACATATAATTGGCCCCTCTGTAAATTGTGGCCCCCTTTTTGGTTTAGAAAAATCCCAGACACTGGTCTTTTGGCTCTGGTAGCATCAGTTGCAGATACAGGTGTACCAACAAAGGACACTTAGATTGACCTTAACTCAAATGTGGCATATGTGCCAATGTGACATGCATATATGTATGTGTGCATGTGAGCGAAATAAAAAGAGTAAGAGCAAGAGAGGGTGCGTTACCTTCAGTTTCAGCTCTGTATGTGACTATACGTGTAGAGAGAGAGAGGAACGGTGGAAAATGACTGCAGACGTTTAAGAACAGCTAGCACTACATCTCACTCCTGCTGATGACTCTCTCGAGGGAACGAGACACAGGGAACCTGTCTTTTGAGTAACGTAACACGAAATCCAGGAATAGAAATCTCTAAATCTCAAACTCCAGTGCATGAAAATTCAAGTGTCACTTCTATAATGGCTGCATACATCATCATGTAAAACACTTCTCAGAGTGTGAGTTGTTCAAACTGGACAAACTAAACAACTTTTGAGTTTTCATGAAAATTTAAGGCTACCACAGGTTCTTTTTCATGTTTGAAAAGGGAGGGTGAGGTGAGGGCTGTTCAGCTGCAACATGCAACTTCACCACCAAATTCTGCACTGAACTTTTAAAGTAATTTGCTGTGATTTGCTATCCTCAGACATATCAAACAAATATTCTCATTTCAGCAGTTTGGATGTACTGAAGGTTCAACGGTCATATTAAAATATACTGGTTTTATGCTTATTGAACTTAGTATTTGTTTGGTTGAAGGTGGGAAAGCAGAAGCCCTCAGTCATACTGTTCTAGCCTCCAGCTTGTTATTGCTGGCTCTCTATGGAGGCTGTCTAGCATAGATGTATTTAGCCTGTGGTTGCTGAATAGGTTAAAGGTACAGTGTGTAGAATTTAGTGATATCTAGTGTTGAAATTGCATGTTGCAGCTGAACACCCCTCACCTCACCCTCTCCTCCCAAACATGTAAAAGAACCTGTGGTAGCCTTTAATTGTCATAAAAATTCAAAAGGTGTTTAGTTTGTCCAGTCTGGACTAATGTAAAAAAAGAGAGAACCCCCTTGATGTAAATATAAAGTATTTGAATATAAAGGGCCTTTTCTGTGGTAAAGAAAACTACAATTCATACAATTTAGATGAAACGAACTAGTGAAAACATCATGAGGATTATTCTACATTCAATTTGTGCCAATAGTTCCCTTTCACCTAAATCTTACACACTGGACCTTTAAAGATCAGATTTGGAGAGGTGGTGGAGATTTCAGCACCAGGAGAAGTGAACAGCGCCACGTCACGTAGTGCTGATAGCAGACGTCACGAGCGACTAAACTTTCACGAATCAACTGATTGGTTACATCGATTGCGATTAATCAGTCGTGCGTAACTGTTACTGATGCTGTCCACACAACGACGAGCTGCTCACCCGACAGAGGGAGCCCAGTCCACGTCTCCGCAGGCGTGTTTGTGGTTGTGGAACATGGATACGCAAGAAAAGCAGGAGATAAAAAGAAAATCTTATTTCAATCCAAGCAATTATTTCAATCCAAGCAATTGCCAAACAGCTATATTACATTTATGAGACAATTAGAATGGATACTTAAATTATAACTGTAAAACCAAGATGGTTAAATTAATGTAATCATACATTTGTTTTTTTCTAAGACAAACTAAATTATTTACAAGGAAAACCGATGGAATCGCGTCTTTACGCACACAGAGAACCGCCTTTGTGCGCAACAAGCAACAGTTTCCCTCCAGTTTCTCCTATAAAGCATCGCTTCCACTTAACCTTCTACTATAAATTATATTTCTAGCATTTAGCAACAGGTCGATGATGGTGTGATTATGTTGAACCCTGTGGGTGGTTTCCATTTTTGATGTGTTTTTGATGTGTTGTCACACCATCCCGTGGTGTGACAACACTAGATTGCGAATATTCACGGTTTTTTTCGACTCATTTTCACTTTATGCTTTTCTCCAAATCTATGACACGTTGTGAATATGTGATCACACGTTGCCACTTCTACATTCTAAACAATCAGAGGGAGAGCATCTGGTACACCAGTAAACAAAATCATTATTAGCGCTGAAGTTAAAACAAAAAAGTGAGACACCAACTTATCGAACTAACACTTACCTTCAATGCAGCAAATCCTCCACAGTCCAGAGTGCGTCAGGTCGCCTTTCACTTTCTTGGTCTGCATCTGGGTCTCATCCGTGGTGACATTGGTGGCGTTGCAAATGTACGCGCGGGAGTAGAGCCAGTAGTCGGTGCCGATGGCGATGGTCATAAGGCTGAACGCGGCGAAGGCCCCCACGATGGCGACCAGAGTCTGAACCCCTCGCTCACAACATGCCATGGCGTCTCATAATGTGCCGGTCCTCCACAGGCAGCTTACGCGCACGGCGAGGAGGAGCGCACGGTGCCTATGGATATGGTCAGAAGAAGAAGCGCTCGCATCTCGCGGGTTTTCCTCCTCATCAGCCAAGTCTCGGTGCGTAACTGCTCCTTAAGCGCTCCTCTACCTCGTAAACTTCAGCTGGAGTTCAGTCCAAGTCGCAGATCCTGACGCAAGAGCAGTTTTCCTGTTCTGTGGATTTAAATCCTGCCACAGGTGGCTGAAATCTGGAGATATATTCCTTGAACAAGAGCACCTTTACAATGCATTAGAAACCCATCAGACTAACACATATCTTGGTCCTGCAACACTTTCTTTGCAGTGAGTGAATTAGGATGATTCCTTCATCCAGACCACACCTTCCATAGCTACAGCCAATTGGAAGGGTGAGTGAGGAACTGCTGCTGGAGGAGGAAAACATCAGAGACTTACACAGACACTAATGTTAGAGAGAAGAGAATCCAGCATCTTCTGTGAGCAAGAAAGTATCCTATCACTTCACGAAACAATCAAACTTACATATAGGCGACCACAGAATACACCCAAAACCACTTTGAAGTTGCTTGCAAGATGAACCAGCTCCTAAAGGAAGTGGGAAAGAAAGCACAAAGTCAGACTCAGATGTCCCCTAAATGAATTAAGTCTCATAATGTGTATTAACAGGATCCGGACTTGTCACTTTAAGACCTCAGCATGTTTGCAGAATTTTTTTTTTCTTGTTTTTCTCACTGGCACAAAGAGGGAGGCAACATGCAGTTTTGTACTGTTCCACCCTTTTGACTAAGGGCACCCTTGTTAAGATCTGAATCATTTCCTGGTCCTTTGAAAGCAAAAAGTGTGTGTTTGTGTGTGAAGCATGATGTCCAACATTTGTGGCTGTGATGCAACGGACTGGGCTCAGCTCTGTGTTTGTGGATCTAGGTGGAAGACGTCTGCTGGACCTCTGTCATCTCAACACAGTGGTGAGAGTGGGGGTGTCTCAGCAGGTGAGCGGAACAGAGATGCTTTAGGTTGTATCAGCAGACAAAACAATTACTTTGGTAGAATATTTTGGTAGAATAAGTGTAAAGAAAGCTGTGATACCACCAACAGACTATTATTGTTTTATATTATAATTATATAATATATTATATAATATATGAATCTCTTTAACCAGCCAGTCTGTGAGCAATATGGAAAAACTAAATTGTATCTATACATATCAATAATTCAAACCCCAACATTGAAACTCCACAGAACAGATCTAATATTTACACTACAGACTTACTACACAGTGAACACAACAAGCCAAGCTGTTCCTCTTCCTCTCAGAGTCATCCTCCTCTTCCGAAGCCTCATGTGGTTTGGCTTTCAAGTGTATTGTCTCTGCTCCCCCCCCCAGGTTCTGTCTGATGGCTGCTACATCTCAGTGTGATTAACCCGTGGGTTTTTCAGACAGCCTTCCTACTGTGGCAGTGGTGATGAGGCTACACAGGGGCCACTGATAATGACCTCCATTCTTCATCTCCATGTTCCAAAGTTTCTTCTTCCTCTCTCCTCTTTCCAGCCTCTCCATTGTCCCTGCTTTGGCCATTCACGCTGGTAATTGCCATCTCTTCTTCCAGCTTCCTCCTTTCTCATGGTGTTTTCTTCTTCCATGCAGATTTTGGCATCTTCTCTATGACCTCTCTGAACTTCAGTGTTGATAGTAGGTTTATTTTTGCACGTGTTTTGAGTATCCGCCACAATCTGTCTAGTGCAAGAGCTGAATGCTGCACGGCTGCCTGGTGCAGAGCACAGTGATCAGTGAGAGTGCCAAAGAGCTGGGGCTATTTAGATTTGAAATTGGACGCCCCTTCATGGAAGTAATTTGTTATTTCTTTTGAAATTGTTTTGTCAAGAAATTCAGACGGATTTTGACGAGAACGCAGGGTTAATGCCGCCGCTTTTGGATCTTGGTTCTTTTGAAGATCGAACGAGGGAAATAAGGAGAAGAGGAAGATGAAAGACTGACAGAGGAAAGGAGAGAAGAAACATTAAACATTCAAAGAAGATATATACCAGCTGGGAAATGTGGGAAAAGTTCAACTCTGACTCAAAGAATATGATTTCAGGCTTCAGGGGAACAAACGGAGCACAAGTTTTAATGTGTCATTTTGACTCTGGACCTACAACATTGAAATTAAATATTTGTGCTGTACATGTGCTTTTGTCTATTCATATATAATCTAATCATTGTTCTATTAACTGGCTGTGCTTTGTGTCTGTATATGTGCTTATGTGTTTTTTACGCATGTCTACGTGCTAAAGTTTGTTGTCTGCTTGTTTGTGCATGTGTTATTTCTTTGATTGTTTCAAAATCAACCTGCCAGGGACTGCAGATGAAAATCAGTCCTAAAGACACACTCTGGTACATTTACAGTGTATGAGCCATTGTGCTCATACTGATTAATGTACACTGTTCCCTTTAAAAAAAAAAAAAAGGTGGATCTGGGATTTTTTGTTGTTGATTTCTCAGATTAAAATGAATGGATCTTGATGATGCAGATATTTATGAGTGGGTGCAGTTCAATGCAGCTCCAAATAAAATTCCAGATGTAGTGAATTTAAATGTGGTTTCAAAGGGGGACTGTTGGACTTTGGTTTGCAGTCTCTTCTAGTTCAGAGTTTATTTCCATACAGAGGTTTTAATTCAAAATTCTTGTTTTGTCATTTTGTCAAAGCCATTTTTTCTTCCCTCTACTCACTATTATTCCACATCAGGGAACAACCTGAGTGTTATGAGATAGTTGTAGAAGACCTGTTTGACTGTCAACAAATACACCACATTCTCTTTTGTGGAAAAAAAGATCAAAGTTGCAGAGATGATGAGTCTCTGTGCGGTTGAATGTGCAGTGTGATATCACTGCTCAGCTCTTAGGATGACTGAAGCTGCAAAACTGGCTCCAGAGAGTTTTTTCCTTTTCCTCAAATGCAAACATAAGAATTGGAAAACGCTCGCCCAAATTTGATGGAGCATCATAGCACTGTTCACGCTCATTATTACCCATGGCATAACAAACAATGGTTTGGTTTTCCTTTAGAAAGAGATGAAGTAAAGATACATGGGCATCAGTGAGAAGCTGTGTGAGGAGACAGTGCCTACAGCAGAAGAGTGAAAGATAAAGAGCATAAGAGATTGGGCTAAAGAAAGCAAACACAGACTCAGCCCTCAGGCTGCCAGAGGCTCTCTCTGCTGCAACAACCTTTCATTTACACCAGCACAACTTCCTGTTTTTCCTGTTTTACAATAAAATAGAGGGTTATCTTTTTAAAGAAAAAGTCCAGTTTATTGCAACGAATCTTAACTTATTGGGCCGTCATTCCTCACAGACTTTCCATTTGTATTTGGATATTTTAAAATATTTTGGTTTATCTTTATGAATGATGCAGAAGTGCAGTGGTCATTCTAAACCTACCTGTTTGGAATGAGCTGTTTGCTTGGCCTGAGGTGATGCTGGTAACAGTTTTCATTATCAAACTGTAAAAGTGTCACCAAGTCACCTGTTTGTTCAGAGTTTACTAATATTGAAAGTATATTTTGTCCAAATCACATGAAATGAGACACTGCTCCATCTGTCCACTGTCCACCGCTGACGTTTCAAACTCCTGAGTGTTTTGGTCGGTGGCAGCGAGCAGCAGGTGGTTTTATAGATTTTGAAAAAGGCTGATTTAGTCTTTAATCATTAAATTTCTCATCCCACGAGTCCAACCAGGCTTTGGATCTGGCAGCACAACATCAGTGATTAAAAAGAGGGAATTCCTTCTAAATAATTCAGGAAACCAAATTGTGAAATCTTCAAATAAAAATATCCCTGTTGATAACTGATTTGGGCAATCGTTTGAGAATTTTCTCGTTCAATAAAAGGTGAGAAACAAGCAAGGGAATTATTTAAATCCATGAATCAGTGATGAGTTTAGGTTTAAACATGATTTAAAGGAATTGTATGTGTTTACCTCTTTATCTAACCTCTGTTCCTGCAGCAGAGGGAAACACTGTGTGGGATGTTGTTGGTTAGAATGAATCTTTGAGAGCCTCAGTGGCCCAGACCATGATTTGCAGTGAGCAAACCAAAAGTCCACTTTCACACAGAATGAAGAATCTTTGTCTCAGGATCTTTATCCTCTGATCTTTCTTCATAGTCTCTGGTGCAAACAGCCGGAGAAAATAACTGAACAGACTCATCGCCAGTGGTGAAATGTAACTAAGTACAATTATTCAGTTGCTGTACTCGATTACACTTTTCATTGAAATGTACTTCGATCAAGTAAATTTATTTTCAGGTGCTTTTCACTTTTACTCCACTTCACCACTAGTCCCTTGCATTTGGGAATATGTTGCACTCTGCAAGTACTTTTACTTTTAATACTTATATATTAGATATTTATATAAGTATATTTAAAAGCAAGTACTCACTCTAACTCAATTACAAAAGTGAATGTTGTACTTTTACTTTTTGTACATTTTTGTTGTGTTATTTGTACTTTGATTCGTTCATTCTGTTTGAATAACCTATTCTCAGCTGCTGTTCTACTGGAGATAAAACAACAGAGAGAAACATGTCAGCTTCCTCTCTTTATTCTTTCTCTGTGTCTTCAAATTTTATGAGTAATCACACCTCAGGGAGTTTTCTAGTGTTGATGCAAATACCCTTCTTCAGAACCCATTCTTCTTGAACAATTACTTTGTTCAAGTATTTGTGTCTCTCTGTTAAATCTCATTTTGTTCTGCCCTCAGAGAAAAGAGCAGAGGGCTCACAGCTGGAATGAAACAAATCATACTGTCAGTGCGTCAAGAGCTAATCAGTCCGGTCCCTACAGTATAAAACACACACATAAACACAAACACACACTCATGCAGAGCCATCCGATCATATTAAGTCAAATTCATTACTTGATTACACTAAGTAGAGCAAGCACAGAGCACAAAGGTCATGATATGGAGCGGGAAATCATGAAAAAGCTGCAACTGTCAGCATTAATGAGACTGAGACTGATAAACGCTCGCAGCCTCAGGCTCCACATGTGTTCGTCCTTCCGGCCTCCGACTGAATGGAGATTAAACACTGGCTGCATTTACAATTCACTTATTCAGCAGAAGGCAACAGAGGATGTGTCTTCTCTATAAGTAGCCAGGGAAAAGACAAGAGACAGACAGGTGGAGTAAAGAGGACGAAAGGTGTAGAAG